AATTGTACTGCTGATGTCTGATGGTATATTGAAATGAACAGTTAATGCTTAAAATTTTTTATATTCTGACCAATTTTGCACGCTTATATCTGGTAATCTGAGCAACTGCTTTGAAGACAACAATATGCAATGGAACAACCATTGGTGAATTCCTACCATCTTGTCTAGTGAAACTCTGTATTATCGCTAATGTTTCATCTAATAATTATTTTTTTAATTCTCTTTAATAGTTTGAACAATCTTCCATTCTTACATCTGGTAATCTGAAAAACGTAGCTGAAGATAACCACATGTAATATACAACCACTGTTAATTCCTATCATTTTGTTTTGAAACCCTGTGTTACTTTTAATGTTCTTGCTTTGTTTGGTTTATATTTGTGATGTTGGTATGCTGCTATTGTTCTTTTTTTTTTTTTCTTTTACTACTCGCTTTAAAATAAAAAAAAGAAAAAGAAAAAAGTAAGAGTAATAAAAAAAAAGATTGGAGGTTCAGGAGTCATTTCATCACCAGCATGAAATGCGATGTTAGGAAAATTAGAAGCATTTCATAAGTGATACATGAAAAAGATGAGCATTTAAGTCCAGGACATGCTGTAAGAATCAACCCCACTATAATTTATAATGGGTATGTATAAACACAAGGAAAAGCAGCTAATCCTCACAGGTCCCTTCTATAATCAGTTATAATATTTCTTAATGTTTTAACAATCAACACATCACTTTAAAAATCTTTTCCATTTACTCTCTTCTCCCAAAATAATGCTATGCACTGCAAGAGCATCACATAAAAGGGAAAATGCATTTAGTGTTCTTTAACTGAAAATGCCATCATCACCCACATACTCTTGCATAGGGCAGCCACAGGCAGATGTTGGCATGTGTACATATTTATGCTTTGAGCTACAATTCATCAATCACTGAAATGCAAGTACGTGCAGACAGAGAAAGAAGATGGCAGAGTTTCACTGAGAAATGAAAAAAATTTCAAATTGTCAAATATCAAGAATGTTGGCATTCTTTCCTGCCAATATATAGTGGACACAGAAAGGTCACAGACATAGCTTTGTTTTATTACCCAAAATAACACATCTTTTATGCTTTTAAAGAATATTGAACCTGGAAAAATACACACAAGAAACAACAGAACATGTAACTTGTAAGTTGATACAGTTGAACATGGTCAGCAAAGGGAATTTTAAAATGGTTAAAGCTTAAAATGCTTTTCTAAGAGGAAGAACTCACTCTATAGAATTTGGGGGAGGGAGGTTTACTGGAAATCAAACTCAGGACCTTGCACTTGCCAGGCAGGCACTGTGCCACTGAGCTGTATCCCTGGCCCACTCTATAGAATTAAGACTAAAGGCTGAATCAGGAGAACTTAGCACATCAGTGAGAACTTCTCACAAAATAAAGGGTTGGGGATGTAGTTTAGTACCTTACTTAGTACCTTAGTAATACCTTACTTAATACCTTACTTAGTACCTTTGAAGGTTCAAGAACCTGAACCTGGGGCACATTGTTCTTTTAAGACTGAACATATTTAAGTCATTGTGCATATCCAGCAAAAATAAAATGTCTAGCGTGTAGGTAGCTTATTACATTTATTAACTAAGCAGATGAACAACCTGCAGACGTTTCCCCTCCTACATGGCTCTTCTAGGTCACTGAGATGTCCTTTTATGTCCACGTTGTCCATTTTGCCTTCCTCTGTGCTTAATGTCCCAATGAATCAAAATCAATGGCACAATAAATGCTGTGTTCAGATCATACTGAACACAGTAAGCACTCAGTAAAATTTTTACTAAACCAACTACTTCCTACTAGCACCCACCATGGTGACAACCACCAAAACTACGGTAGGTAGTATTTCTGACTTTGGCTTAATTATGATCTATCATTCCTTACCTTCCTCAGGGGCAGCTGAAGCTCCTTCAGGTAGTATAGGCTGTAACTCTCCAGTTTCAGAATTATTCTCCAAATCAGTTATTGGCATTCCTTCCAGACGACTTCCTTTAGCATTAGGCCTCAAATAGGAAGAAAACAACTTAGTATTTTTAAAACTACTAAGTGATACAATAATCTAATACTAAGCGATACAATAATCAGTTTTCTTCTTGTGAAAATACAAGCCAATTTAATATTAAACTTCAAATTTTGAAAATTCACAGTGAAGTAGTACACTGTACCAATGTCAATTCCTGGTTATATTATATATAACAACGGTTTTGCTAAATGTTATTATTAGGGGAAACTGTGTGAGACATTCAGGATCTTTATTATTTTTTATACTTGTGTACAAATCTACAATTATCAAAAACATTAAAAAGTAAATAAAACTTCTAAATAGTATGTTCTCACTAATAGGAAAGAATTTAGGTATGTATTACTGTGTGAGAACACAAGGTATACCTTTCATGTTAAATTACACATCACTGACTGGGGATTTAGCTCAGC